ATGCGAGAAGGCAAAATGCAGTACGTAAACGCCAAACGAAAACAGCTGGGATTAAGGGGAATGAAACTCTAGGCGCTGAGTGCTTTAAGTGGAACGCAGCAAATTTCCCGCACGCCTCATTCCTCCGGAGACTGAGCAGTAACGCAGCCCAACAGTACTGGTTCATTCTCTGCTCGGTCAAATCGAATGGCGAAAGTAGCACAGAAAACCTGCAGTCTAAAATAGCCTGGCCGCAGCGCAATTACCTTGACAAGCTGCGCGACACGTGGCGCAGCGCGCACTCGCTCTTCGTAATCAAGCTGCTGCGTGGCGTTGACTAGCGTCTTGAAGAACTGAGCAAATTTCGAAACCAGACCCGCAACTCCTGTGCCGCCATGCGTCGAGCCGCTCGTTTTTTGCGGCTGCCCGTTCAAATCATCTTAACAGAATCACATCCTCATTAACATTTCGCGTCCCGTAAAAGTCGTCTAATTTCATGAACTGGACCGCCCAAAGATACACACATATACACGAAAACAAACATACGTAGTCTCACCACACTTCGTTTTTTGATAACTATAGTTGTGTGAAATTCCGGTCGCTCAACTTACCCAAAATGAGATGAACTTTAAAAATTGCTAAATACATTAGGACTGCCAAAACTCCTTAGTATGCAACGCGACAGCCGTCTTAAACTATCGTGAGATCAATTGTACCAGTGGGAAAGGAACGAATGACCTTCAAAGCTAATCAGCCACACACAAAATTGTTTTACCTGCGACAATATACTGTGCCGCTCGCATCTCGATATCTCGGGCATTTGCTCGTCGGCGTGAAGATTGCAACGAAATCTGCAAAGGCTTGATATTGCACAGATTTAAGATTAATTCTAAAGCCCAGACTTATTTAAAAACTTAATGGCTAATTTTTAGAACCAAACGACTCGTTTCAGGAATAATGACTGATGGCTCTAAGTGAAACTTACTGGTAAAACCTCGCAAGTAGCAGTTGTTTGGCTGCTTTCACCCCAGCTAGATCTGGCAGCAACTGCACTGCGCATTTCATTTTCTCTGCGGGTAAATGGCGGCTTTAGCTGCAGTTCCTGTGGCTGCAACGCTAGAGGCTGCTGCTGCATTTGCTGCGGCTGTAGCGGTGCAGCCTGCGGCCCCGATTCGTCATCTTCGCCCATAAAATACTGGAATTTTTCAAAAACTGTTTAGTCAGACATTAGAAAATCGAGCCGAGGCTGAAAAAGTACATAAATATAGCAAATAAGTGGAGCAGCCGTACAAAAATCTATTAGTGATCCTGAAAGCTTTTTGGCGAGGAATATTTCAAAACTTCAGGTGGTTCAGAGGCAGGAACATATACAGAGTCGTGCAAGGTCGAATCCTGTTGTAGTTTTTCTCTAACTCAATACATAAACGATTATATCATATAAGTAAAAACTCGCGAAGCCAGCGTTCCTTCATTTG